GCAATGCGAACCAAACTCTGACATCGGCAGTATAGGGACCGAACAGCCCGTATCAGGGGGCTCGGTACCCCATACTCCCGAAGCACCCCCCACAGAACTCCCCGAGGGACACGGTCAAATGCCTTCTCCAAGTCCACAAAACACATGTAGACTGGTTGGGCAAGTTCCCACGTACCCTCGAGGACCCTGCTAAGGGTGTAGAGCTGGTCCACAGTTCCACGGCCAGGACGAAAACCACACTGCTCCTCTCCATCCTTTATCCGAAACACTTATTCCCACGAGAGTCGCAGGCGCGCGCTGTATTTAATTTTCAGTTCGAACTGTGTTCATTCATTACAAACTCCTCACATTTAAACATAATGTACTGCATTTACCATCTTACGTTTAAGTGGAAGGGTTGCTGGGCTACATGACAAAATGTATTTATAATGTAATTACTTCTTTTTAAACCTATCGTTACAATTGTTGACAAGTAGGGGACGCTGTGTGCATAGTTTCCCTACTTGACAGTAGTAAAAGTATGGTCTATCTATCTATCTATCTATCTATCTATCTATCTATCTATCTATCTATCTATCTATCTATCTATCTATCTATCTATCTATCAGTTTAATTACCTACCTACCTGCCTACATACCAACCTACCTGTTAGTCGGTCGGTTGGTCTGTCCTAGTTATTCTCAACTGGTGGGTCCACGTAAGGATTGGTCACCGACAGGGACAGGACGTAATATGTATTTATAAGCAATGAATTACAATAGTTTGGATTGCCTGATCTGTATGCCCTAAATGTGTTTTTCAAGAAAACATTACAAACAGTACAAATTCTGGTCAGACTGCTGCCATCAGAGGGGAACTCTGATGTAAACCTTGTGTACAGTGAAATGTTTAACCCTTTCATGCACCCTGTAACCTGATACAGTAACATGACAAACTGTCCACTGTAGTAACTGCTGTGCCTGGAAGAGTTCTAAATATGTGTCCCAGGTCCAATGTGTTATTATTCGCAGTAGAACATTATTTTGACGGGAATGCATCGGGAACATTATGAATTGGTGTGTATTCATATTTAATATGCCTGTGTTTCCATGCAGAAAGTATTAGGTAAAAGGCAGAAAGTGTAAGTAGTACTTTGCAATGGACGTCCCTGCAAATATGTCAATATCAGTGTGGATGGGAAGAAAGCTAGCATAATGCAAACAACTTCAAACGGCATATCGACACTAGCCCCTCAATGAGAAATATCACTGGTGTTTTCCGTGTATAAAAACTTTGACATCATAACAGCTGCAGTAGCACTTGTCTACGGCTTTCTTTTTCTATGAAGGCCAATGATTGATGTTACACCTTTCCAAAAAGAAAAGCTCACAAACATTTAATTGGACCACACTGGTAACTTGAGATACCAGTGATCTGACTTACAAATTTGTATTACATAGCAACATGAAAACTGTTACATTGTCACTGTACAGTAGACTACATATTGTTGCTGCACTGTGTGCTTTCATTATGTTGCTTCAAGGGGTAAAGCATTGCTGCAAGGATGCTGATTAGCACTAGTGGACTGATAGGCTAAGCTATGGTTCTTTCAAATAGACAAGATGTTTTTCTTTTTGGTTTTTTTTTTTTGTATGTTTAGTTTGAAAGCAGACGTCAACAGCTTATATGGAGCCCCTAAGGTAACAAAGGAGATCATCGTCCCTCCACCTCTCTATACCCTCTGCCCGTCTCAGTACAATGGGGTGCAGAGCCTTCAGCCGCTCTGCCCCCAAACTCTGGAACTCACTTCCACGCAATATTCGTAACAGTGATTCTCTTCCCACATTCAAAACCAAGCTCAAAACCCACCTATTCAGACTTGCTTACTCCACTTAAATTTATCTCTTTTTATTTATAATTTTATCTGTGGTTTTATTGTTTGCTCTTGCCTGTAAAGTGTCCTTGAGTGTTGTGAAAGGCGCTTACAAATAAAATGTATTATTATTATTATTATTATGATGATTATAAAAAAACACGGGGTGAAAAAAAACCCCAACAACTGGCGTTCCCTTGCAAAGATTATGAGATAATGCTTATTTATTTATATATTTATTTGTAAAGAAACG